GCTGCAGTTAGGAATTCCACTCTCGGTTCTCTCACCTCGTCATCACAAGGTGTTAGCTGCTATTTGCTGACGGGAAAAATGTGGCTCAAAGGTCACTTGCCCAAATTCAGAGTTAGGACAATAGTAAAACATGAGCCAGAACTGGGTTTTCTGATTCCAATATGGTACAGAATAGGAGCCATGCAATGTGAGAACCGGACGGGTCCCCAAGCAATCCAGTCGTCCCCTCATCGCTGATGGAAACACTGAGTCCCCGAAAGATTAACTGACTCACTTAAGATCACAAAGCAAAAAGAAAAGAATTGGATTTCTTAATGCTTTATGTCTTTCTTTGAGGATAGATCTTTTTGTTATAGTTGGGAAAAATGAATGACTGAATCACTCTCCCAGTGTAAAGAGAGGATATTTTAAAACTCACTGATGCCTAGCTATGTTTTAGTCAGAAGTGCCCTTGCACTTAAATAATGTAGATACAGGGTAATATTTTATTAGAGTAACAATTTATTAGCAGACAAAAGAAATGACACCTCTAGATCTCAACACACATATAGGATCTTACATAATAAACAGCACAAACATATCATTCCAGAAAACGATCTGCTATTAACCAACTCCCCCTTCCCTCCAATAGGTTGCAATCCATCCATAACTCATCCTCATCTCGTAAGAGGGTTAAGCAATGATTTACATGAAATAACATCAAGGCACTTGCTTTAATTAAAAAATATAGTATAAAACATGTTCCTAAAAGTCATCAGACTTGAATAATTTTTAAAAAGGCAATGTACTTTTTTGGTGAATAGACAAGACTGAGAATCTAAATTCATTCACTTGTCACCCTGACATTGTCTTGATTTGTATACAAAGTTGCAATGGAGACCCCAAAACAAGGTAACATATTATATAGATTAGTATGTTCACAAGCACTCATTTCTGAGAAAAAGAAGCCATAGCAGCATCAGGACTCAAACCATAATTTCTCCACTGATTTGCATTGAAAATAGATTCCAAGTTATCTTATTATTTCAGGGATGGAGTATGGGGTAAGGGAAGAAAACCTCTCCAAAAGACTTTATTAAAGCTTCAGTTAAAAGATCTTTCTAGCTTAGGCTGCTTATCCGTAGGTTTACAAACATAGTATCTCCAATAAAGGCATTTAGTGTCCTTCATTATTCCAGTTTTCAGAATTCATTAAGATAAAAAATAAAATACTTCCCCAAATCCACTATTTAATATAATGCTTATTTAACTTTCTACCTGTATTTAACATTTTACTTTAAAATTTCAGTTGTGCTTTTTTTTTAAAGTCCTTATTAGGATAAAAATTACCTTATAAAAATAAATCTCCCCCACTCCCACATCTAAATTCTCCATCTTTATAAATGACTAATTTTTAAAAATAAAAAAAAACTTAAAAATTTACCTCTAACATACAATATTTCAATAGCATTTTATTTTAATGCATAGGCTATAATTAACAAACCAGCTGGTGTATTCTTTTGTCCCGTTCCATTATAATTTTCATTCTTGTAATTAGCACCCAAATTAATGATTCCATTATTATCTAAAATCTTTATACAAAAAAAAAAAAAAAGATCAAATTAGTTCAGAGCCTAACGGCTTTCTAGATCCAACTTCATTCTTTTTACAGTTAAAGCCAAGTTTCAAATAAGGCATCACTAGAATAGGTAAAGAAAACATTGGTGGGGGGTTGGGGAAAGAAACACTAAAGAACAGAAAAATTAAGCGAAGTCTAAATCCCATCAACTGGATTTTTACCATTGCACTGTGGAATTCTTCCCTGGACATACCAGGAGCATAGCTGCCTCCTGCTCAGATTGCAGTCAAGGTTTCATTCAACATTCTCCACAAAGCACCTCCCTAAGTGTGCGAGTGTGCTCACTCAGAGTTACGAATAATAGCCCATCTACTGGGTTTAGTACCACGGTCCCAGCACCTGGCCGGGGATCCTAGACTCCTGGACAGGTCTTCAGAAGTATGTGAGGTAATGTCTACACTGATGCAAAGAGAACCTATGACTCATTATCTGTAACACTATATGGAGGAAAACAGTCCATTAAGAACATTAATAAGGATCACAGAGCTCAAGCTTATCATTATAACTTCAAGACTCAATTTAAGTTCCCAAGAAACGCACTGCAGCCTGTTTCTTACTTTTATATTAACATCAGGGCAAACCCTGACAGCGGTTCTTAAATGACAAATTACTAAGAGAATATTCCTGCAAAGGATTACTGTTCTTATTAAAATGTAGTCATTAGCATTAGAATAGTCTAATGAACTCATCTAACACCCTGATACATTTTTAAAGTTCACCATTTACCATATGTAAATTTAACAACAAATTTTGAATTCAATGTCTGTTATTGCTTAAAACCTAAGTCAGACTATCTAAATCTCACCTTGTTTTCCTTTGGTCCTACTTAAAAAAAAAAAAAAAATCAATTATACACCTGTCAGTTTTATTACCATCAGAGGCACAGATAGTACTATAGTCACTCAATTTCGATTTAGATTCTTTAAAAAATTCTTTGTTAGAGAACGGGTCTCACTGTGTTGCCCAGGCTGGACTCAAACTCCTGGGCTCAAGTGATCTTCCCACCAGAGCCTTTAGAGTAGCTGGGACTATCGGCATAGCACCGTCCCTGGCTCAGTCACTCAGTTTAGATGGAAGACACAATGTTCCAGAAAAGGTCAACCCAGTCTTTTGCCACAACTCTGACTACCATGTTCTCCTCAGCTCTTTCAGCTTTGGTGTATCTGTGACTCTCCCCTTCTACAAAGAAAAGCCAATTCTGACCTTGTTCTCAGAGGTGTGGTTCCTAATCCCAATTGCCCTACAATTGTGTGGGCCTAACCAGGGATTGGATCCTATTCAACTGGGTCCCCCTGTTTTCCCCCTCCACTGGTCAGATATAGTCTTTTCAATGGTCTATTTCCTTCACTCCTCTAAAATGTTTTCCTTAGTCTACCTGTGCATTGGTACACTCCACTACCCTGGTCATAACAAATTTAAAAATAAATAAGGTTGTAAAAGTTTTAGCCATCAAGAGTATACACACAGGAGCCTGAGGTGTGAGGATTGTCAGGAGTTCGACACCAGCCTGAGCAAGAGTAAGACCCCGTCTCTACAAAAAATAGAAAAATTAGCTGGGCGTAGTGGTGTGCGCCTGTAGTCTCAGCTACTCAGGAGGCTGAGGCAGGAGGATCACTGGAGCCCAGGAGGTTGCAGTGAGCTATGATGATGCCACTGTACTCCAGCCCAGGTGACAGAGCGAGACTCTGTCTCAAAAATAAATAAATAAATAAAAGTATACATACCATATTTCAATTAACCACTTTAAGATCTTCAGAATTTTGTATATTTGTCAATAAGCACTGAGAAAATGCTTCATTTACACTTTAAAGTTTAGAGTAAGCAAGATATCTTTGTATCAATATAGCATTTCAAATATCACCTAATGAACTAAAGTTCAAGCCTTTGGTCAAGAAAACAAATGAAAACATGAGTTTTTTGTGGTGAATTAGACTTTGGTTCCAGGTTTGATTATTTTCAATATCAGCAATCAAAAAGTTTTAACAATGTGCAAGTACAGGCAACCTCACTCCAAGCAAAGATGATGAAATGTAAATTCCAGTGAAATCGTAAATGTTTTTACAAATGGCTACTAAAAGAATCTCTTGTTTGCGTGGGACAAGTATAAACCAGAACAGAATTCAAGAATTTGCTAAACGCATGCATAAAGCTCCAGAATTGTTTAAATTCACATATGGACAGAAGTGTCGGGTAAAGGTCCAATCCTGTTACTCCATTCTTCTAAGGAATTTTCCAAATTCTTTAACTAGACTGAAATTTTTTTGCTGTGCTGGTGTTGGCTGAATTATAATGTTGTCTTAAACATGTACTAATTACTCTATCTCAGGGTATTAGATATTTATAATAGTCTCAACTCAAACCTGGCTTGGAAGAAGGGCAAGAAGGATTAAAAACAAATAATTGACCAAGATACTGTGATTTTGCTATTATTATTCATAAGGCTGGATAGAAGGGGCAAATATTGGCTAAAAACAAAAAAGCACAAATACAAGCAGCAGTTAACATTTCTGATATTCTAGACCTAGTTCTAAAACTAGACCTATTCTAGTTCTAAAAGGATGTAAAAATTCAGGATACTGTTACATTTAATCATAATACCAATCACAAAAAAGAAAGAAATCCAGATTTTCTACTGAGAAACTGCTTTGTTGTGATAATGGAAAGGTATTTTCCAAGTAAACAAATGGGAGAGCTCTACCAATAGAAAAGCCACACTGGCAGTTTAGGGAGCCAACAAGAAAAAATTATATATATCTATACATAGATATAGATATATATACATATACATATTTTAAATATACATATTAAACATGTACATATATTTAATATGTTTAAAAGCATCCTACTCCCATAGATCCCTACACATAGGGTTTTCTCCTCGTAAATATTTAAAATTGTTTAGAATATAGGAACAGGTTAAAAATGATTTTGCACTTTTGCAATTATTATTTTGTTCGTTTTAAAAGACTTGGCTCCAACCTGAGCAAGACTGAGACCCAGTCTCTACTAAAATTAGCTGGGTGTGGTGGTGTGCACCTGTAGTCCCAGCTGAGGCTGAGGCTGAGGCAGGAGGATCGCTTGAGCCCAGGAGTGTGAGGTTGCAGTGAGCTATGATGACGCCACTGCACTCTAGCCAGGAGTGAGACCCTGTCTCAAAAAAAAAAAAAAAAAAAAAAAAGACTTGGCTCAATGTTTCATAAATTAGTCCCCTATTCCTAACTTTGGAGAACCTATGTCTTCCTCCTCACCTGTCAAGGTCCAAATACAGAACTGCAAGTTTTCCATGTAAGATATTCTTGCTTTTCAAAAGAAACTATTCCTCAGTTCACAACCTAAGGTCAGCTATCATAAATAATATACCCATAGAACTTGGGTTTTATGAATGTGATACTTCTAAATCCTCTTGCATAATAATTTTAGGTGACTTGAAAAGTTAAAAGCTGTCACTATCATCAGTATTTACTGTATAGTAACAGGATGCATGGCAGTAAGCATCAGCTTTGTTTTCACTAAAACATCTACAAATTAATTATTGATATCCTTTTGGAAGCACTCTATCACTTCTGTGCATGCTTTTCCATTGGTTCCAATAAATTATTTTTGCAGGGTAAAGATGAGCAGCAGCTTCTATCTGAGAAAGCAGCTTCTAAGGCCAATCCCCAGCAGACCCTTGCTAAAATGCCATGGGGAGGGGAAAAACTCCAATTCACTGCAAAGTAAAACAATTCTTAAGGGAAACCTTCAACCATTCCTTTTTGCAATCTGTCCTTGACAGTTTGCCTCAAGCTCATTTAAAATGCTATATGAAATTGCTGACTGGCAAGATTGTCACTGATAATCAAAAATACCAATTTAGGACAGATGCCATGGGAAACACACTAAGGTAACAATAGAGCTTAATGGTAGAGAAATTCTCAGAGGCAAGGACAGAGATCACAGAAAAGACAAGGGAAGACTCCCACTGTTTTTTCTGATGTTGAAGAGCTCTTTGATTACCTACTTACCCTAAACAAAAAGGTATGACTAGAAACTTCAAATGTATTACAAAAGGTGTTCTGTTCAAAGTCAGGCTGCTATCCAGATGTTACAAACCTGCCCAGCCATTAGACTCCCGATGAGACTGTACCCATAGTTCCCTGCCTTAAGGAAAGGAATGGTGCTTTCCCACTAACAGCCAGAAATCTACTGCCATCTGGGCAGCAAAGACTGGGAACAGAGAAGCATAAGAAAGAACGAACTTGGCTAGTTATGACCTTGTGCTCCAGAAGCCTCTTGGCCTGCGTGTACAAGAGCAGGTACAACACTCTTTCCCTGCCTCCTTTCCCTCCCTATCCACAGAGTCATGCAAAGAAGCACTTCTAATGCAAATCCCAACTTCACCCCTTTACCTCTTGGAGAAGGAAGAGTCCAAATGTATAGCCCCCTAAATCAGGATGGTAATTAAGTTTTGGAGCTACTCTATAGCTGAATACTTCATATCTGCAAGAAAGCTTGAAACCACAGTATTTTCTTTTTTATTCTGTTTGACTGTAAGTTCTGCTGCATTTGGGTATATGCAAAGGCCATTAGCTTCAAAGGAAGAATAACATTTAGCCAATAGGTTAAAATTTCAAGTGTACAAGTGGAAGATGAAAATGTTGTATACTTGAAATTTTAACCTATTAGCTAAACATTGTTCTTCCTTCTACTTTCTCAATCACTAGAAAGACTGAGACCATTAGGAACACATATTCCTTTCTGATTTTGAGATCCTACTGCAAAAGCCATCGCTTCGTACACACTATAGAAGAGAAGGTTTTCTTCTTCCTTTTCCCAATATTCTCCCCTGGTCAGGGAATCCCTCACAGAGGGATTACATTGAGCCAGCAGAACCTGGATTCCAATGGCTTTATAATCTCTGCGAACTTCTTTCAGTGTATGGATCCCGGCTGTATCTAAAAACTGTATTGCACTGCAGTCGATCACTATAGTATGCAGCTCCAAGGGGTCATGGGAAAGTTGCACTGAAATTTCATCCTGGAGTCTACCCAGAGTCACTGTTTCCTCTTTTATCTTTCTCTTTGCTGCCTTTCTCTGAGCTGCCTTTACTAAAACAGGGTTGACAGTTTTTTTGTATAAAGCAGATTTAAAGCATTCTTTGTTTATGTAGTAGAGAGGGGATACAAAGCGGAAAATCTTGATGCCTTGCTTAGTCTGAAGGTTCTTGTAAGCAGACGTAGATTCAAAGATTTCAGACTCTTCCACCAAGCCGAGCAATGAATTCTTTGGCTTCTGAGTGCGGAGGATGACACAAAACATAGAAAAACAAACCCCGACCAGCAGGCCTAATTCAGTACTTAGCAGTGCAGAGGACAGCATGGTAACAAACCAGATAACTGTATCCACTCTGCTAACCCTCCACATCTTAGGCAGATCCCTAAACTTACGAAGGGCTCCCCGGAGATTTACAATCGTGATCACACCAAGGACACTTTTCTGAAGGGAATAGAATAAAGGAGCTATTACCAGGAGGACCAATAAAAGAACCAGGGCTGTCACCACACCGGAAAGCTGAGTTTGACAGCCTGTTGATTCTTTGACCAATGTCTTTGCAAGAGCTGCGCTAGTAGTAAAACAGTGGAAGAAGGAAGGGATGATATTGCAAAAGCCAATCGCATACATTTCCTGATTCGCTCTGACTGTATAACCATGTTTCTTGGCAAACATCTCAGAAAGTGATACGGTGATGGCGAAACCAATGACACAAATAGCTATTGCATCGACAGCTACATTAGGAATCAGTTTCCAGTCTGGTGCTTTGGGTGGCATAAACCCAGTGGGAATATGTCCAGCAATACTGGAATTATAATTCTCATTTAGTTTTCCAAAATGAGAGGCTAACGTGGCTGCCACAACGACAATCAGTTCAGTAGGAATCGGTGCCTTAAGCTTGGACTTGAAGTGCTCATTGAGTTCTTTGGTTGGCACAAGTACCAAAAGGCACAAGAGGCTGGTGATGAGATCACAGAGATTGGTCTTATGGATGTTTTTGAAGATATGTACCCAGGTAGTGATGAGTGAGCCCACGCCATTACTCCGAGGAAGGCTGAGCCCAAGGAGATACTTCACCTGAGACGTAAGAATAGTGAAGGAGGCACCAGTGACAAATCCACTCAGCAAGGCATCTGAGAGGTAGACAGAAACAAAGCCCACTTGAAAGAAGCCCATCACTACCTGGAAGGAAGGATATACAAGTGTTAAATATAAATGGAAAAGGACTTCTAAATTTCATATTACCCTGACGTTTCTTGCATGAAGACATACCATCAGAGCATCACAGAATGTCAGAACTGGAACAAACACAATCACACATCAACCTTCTCAATTAACAAAGAGAGGAAACTGATGCTTAAAGGGCTAAGCAACTTGCCCAAGGTCACACTGTTACTTGCTAGCCCAGGTCAGACAGGAATTTAGGATTTCTACCTTCTCATACCTTGAATAATGTTCAGACATCTTTCAAAAAGAAAAAAAGTTCTCAAGGACCCACAAGAAAACTTCAAATTGGAAAAATTCTTCTAATTAAGAAACTATGTATTTTCTTTAAATTGCAAATCATTACTCTAAGAATGAAGTTTTAACTGGTAAAACAAAAAATCAGATTCACATCAAAATAGAATCACACTTTAAAAATTATTACAGAACTCCCTTATTTCCTTTTTCACTTTTGTCTTTTATCCTTTTCTCATTTTTGTTTTCTTTGATTTGATTGTCATTCACTTATCTTCTATCATTTGATTTTGATTCTTAGGCTTTTTTCTTCTTCTTCTAACAAAAATGTCATTCAGAAGAGAACTCTCTTAAATCTAACCTCATACTGTTCAGATCCAGTATATATGTGCTTATGCCATACCACCTCCCATATTAATAATAATTCTACATCCTCAAAGATACAATTTTTTTCTTTATTTTTTCCTCTTCCCAGTAATTTCTGAGAATGCTATTATACCTTCCTCCTTCTTGGTGAGGAATACTAATAAAAAAGCAAAAACAGACTCTGAGAAGTACAACTCATCTGCATACCACCTTCACTCTCCCTCCCCATCTCATCCAAACACCAAATAATGTGTGCTACTCTTCTCCTTCCCTTGTTGGTTCCAAATGCCTGTGATACACAGGCAGTTTAATGCTGGCACTGACTCCTGGATGCCAAAAGGCAGAGGCATAATGATAATGGCAGATTAGTGGGTTCTATAAAAGACCCAACGAAAATTTCATTTCTAATCCTTTCTCCTTGCTGATAATATGACACTGTGGTCCTCAACTTTTTCCCTCCCTCCCCAATAATCCAAGAGAACTACTATCTTTAGTAAGAGTCACTCACTTAAGCAGTGATTCTTAAGGAAGGTAGAGGGCATTTATAATTTAAAAAACTCCTGCATTCTTCCTTTCCCAACTCCCATTATGTTATTCTCTTGCCAACTCTACCAATAACCAACCACAAATAATCTCAAGCAAAAACAAGGTTTTCTGACATGTAAAATTAAGGAGTTGTACTAAGTGGTCTGAGGTTCAGAGAATCAGCCTTATCTTACCTTTGTCAGATGAGGGTTTAAATTTTGGCTTACCTTTCATGTATCCTGAGCACTCAATAAATGATAGCTTTAATTACTATGATCCCTAAAATCTCTTATAGATAGGAGATTTCAAGCATAGTGATTACTTTTCCAGAAACAACCAATTATTCCATTGTTTCTTACCTGATAAACTCCAGCCATAAAGGTTACAGTGCTGCCAACTATAATTGCATAGCAACTTTTGTCACATATCATATCTGATGTCTGATTTAATAATGTGCTCCCATTTGAAAACACTCCTGAAGGAGAAGCAATACGGGCAGTGTCATAGCCAGCTTTGTGTACTTCTCGGTCAACAACCTCACCAATCATAAGGCACAGTACTCCAAAAATGCCCACAGAGATGTGACGGGAGGTACCCAATAGGAAATAAATGATGCTAGCAAAAAAAGATGTGTACAGACCATAGATAGGTTCTTGGCCTGCTAACAGGGAATAAGCAATGGACTGGGGCACCAATAAGATGCCCACAATCAAGCCAGACATCAAATCTCCTAAAATATTTTTCTTTAGATTGTATTTTGGGAGCCACTGCAAAACAGGAAAGAAACCAAAAATTATATTTTTGGCTTTGGCTGGGCTGCACTGGCAATTCTTCTGCAGCTTTGTGATGACAAACTCCTTGAAGTTAGTATTTGCTTTCTCTTGACGCTCTATATGGATTCTAGAATAAGGTCTGCATTGATCATTGGTTTCAAATTGTTTTAAGTCAGTACTTGATTCCTCTTGAGGCTCCAGATGGATCCCAGATGAAGGACTGTCATTTCCTTCAGCAGAGTCCCTGGGTGAAAGGTCATGTTGCTCTTCACTTTCCGAAGACATTTCTGGAGATAGATGGCTCAGCTTCCTACCACAGAGAAAATACCAGTGTTAACCAGTAAAGTAATTCTCAGTGCTCACATATAGTAATAGCTCTACTTGTCATTCATGAGTGTTAAGAGGAATTCAGTTTGGGGGTAGGTATCTTACATCCATTTTCCTTAATTGAGCCTCATTTGTCTTGGTCAGGAAACAAAAGACCAAAACCAGACCATAAATAGCTAAATTAAAGCAAATAATGGGTTGGGTATGGGACTTCCCAAGACTATAAACCATTAAGGATTCTTCTCTGTATCTGCTGGCTCCCCCTGAAGTTTTTCCTCCAGAAAACATACCAGGGCAGCCTACCTCCTTTGCATATGCTACCAGTGGTCTTCTTCCCAAGTTTTTCACCTCTCAGGTATATTGCAAAATAGAATCTACTCTCAAACCTTCACCCCTACCACCTAGTCCCTGCTGACACAAGGAAGATGGTCCATTTATTTATCTATGTTTTTTTTTTTTGGCCCCTTTTTAAAAAAAACACTAAATGCTGAGGATAAAAAGAAAAAAGAAAAAGTAGGCAAAGAATATAGATAAATGTTTTTGGCAATAAAAAGAAACTAGGGCAGAATGCATTTGGGTCTTTGAACAAAGCTCCCTTGTTTGGCAGGAAACAGGAGAGAGAAGCTGATAAGAGGGTATGGAAGCTTAACAAATGTCAAGAGCATGGGGAGGATTGATGGGGCAAGTGTCATCAGAAGGTTGCAGAAGGTTTTGGTTTATTCCATTGTGTCCTAGTATGGAGTCATCTGCCCTGTGGGCAGGGCTGACACTCATGCAAAGAAAGTTTATTATTCTAGGTACACATTCTGAAATTTCAGGCTGAATAGAGAAATACTGTTGCCCTGCACCTCCCCTGGAGGATATAAAGGTGGTCCTACGCCTCTGGTTCCTAAACTATTGAACTAACATCCTAAGAACTACCACTAGGAACTATAGGTAAACAAAGCAGGTTAAAATAATCAAAAAGAGACAAGGGACAACAAAAAATAAGTCTTATAACAGGAGTAAAAGAAGAAGAAAAAGAATCAGGTTCTCAAAGAGTGGAGTGTAAATTGTTTACCAAATAATTCAAAAATTAGTGCCTTTGCACAAGCTGTTTGTTGGGTTTTTTTTTTTTTTTTGCTTTGCTCAGAATGGCCAACCACCTCGCTCCCTGTTAAGATCCTCCCCCCGCCCTTTTTTTTTCCCTGGAGATATGGTCTCACTCTGTTGCTGGGGCTAGAGTGCAATGGTACGGTGGCATCATCATCACTCACAGCAACCTAGAACTCCTGGGTTCAAGCAATCCTCTTGCCTCAGCCTCCCAAGGAGCTAGGACTACAGGCAGGTACCACCACACCCAGCTAATTTTTCTATTTTCTGTAGAGATGAGGTCTCCCTATGTTGCTCAGGCTGGTCTTGGGACTCCTGGCCTCAAGTGATCCTCCTGCTTCAGCCACCCAAAGTGCTAGGGTTACAGGTGTGAGCTACCACGTCGGGCCCCTAATCATTTTTTAAAACCCAGTTAAAATAGTGCTTTTTCTACAAAGCTCTAACCAATCTCCCTTAGCCTAAATGAAACACTACACCCTCTGTGTCCCATGGCATTTTGTACCTCCATTATAGTACTAACCACACTCTTGTATTAATTAAGTAGGAGTCTCTCCAGCTCCTTGTTCATCAGTGTAACCATCAGTGAATGTAATATAGTAACTCTGAGATAGCAGGCTCATAAAACATTTGAATGAATGAAAGAACAAATCAACAAATTTGGGACTTTGGCCAGACAGACATAAAATATGTTAGATGACAGACTCAGGAAGTTTCCTGTTTTGGAACTGACAGAAAAATGGGCCCTTGTGAGGTTCTATAAAGCTAACATTATGGAGGCGCCACAATCCAGGACTCACGACCTATTTAAGAACATGAGATATATAAAAGTAACCCACCTTTGTTTTGTTTAAGTTGAACAAGTGTAAAATAACAGTTATTTTGATGGCTTTGTGAAGTAGATAAAGAAAAAAAAGAAGAGATTTAGATGACCACTAACCCTGAGAAAGTCAATCAGATTGGGGGATCTTCATTCCTCGAAGCAACCAATCTGTAACTCTCTTCTCACTTCCTGCTTTCTTGAGCTTGCTTGAGCACACTTATGTCCTATTTTGGAGAAACTCTTGGTGATTTCTGGGCCAAAAGCCTTTTCCAAACCTAAGATATGCAAAAGAGGCATAAGAAAAAACAAACCGAATCCAAATTTTGCCCTCTATGGCTACCATTTGGGAATAAAAAAGATAAAAACTAATACTAGAAAGTACAACAGAGAAATGAAAACTTCAAGAAAGAGTCAAACAGAAAAGCTAAAAGTGAAAAAAACAATAACAATGAAGAATGCCTTTGACAGGATTATCAATAGACTTGACAGAGCCAAAGAATCAATGAACTCAAAGATGGGTCAATAGAAATTACCTAAACTGAAACACAAAACCAGAATTTAAATATTATAACAAAACAGGCCAGGGTGCAGTGGCTCATGCCTGTAATCCTAGCACTCTGGGAAGTCGAGGCAAGTGGACTGCTTGCGCTCAGGAGTTCAAGACCAGCCTGAGCAAGAGCAAGACACCGTCTCTACTAAAAGCAGAAAAATTAGGCAGGTGTCATGGCATGGCACCTATGGTCTCAGCTACTTGAGAGGCTGAGGCAGGAGGATGGCATGAACCCAGGAGTATGAGGCTGCAGTGAGCTATGATGACACCACTGCACTCTACCCAGGGTGACAGAGTAAGACTCTATCTCTAAATACACAAATAAATAACAAAACCAAAAAACCCCAATACCAACAATGTAACAGAACATCCAAGAGCTGTGGAACACATCAAACTATCACACATATGCATAATTAGAATCTCAAAAGAAGAGAGAAAGAGAATAGGCAGAAGAAGTATTTAAAGATATAAAGGCCAAGAATTTTCCAAAACTAATGACAGACTGAAACGCAGATCCAAGAATCTCAGAGATTTTACAAGAAGGATAAATATAAAAACCAAAACCAAAAAAACCCCCAAAAAACCCTGCACTTACACATATCACATTCGAGCTGCTGAAAAGAAAAGATAAAGAAAATCCTGAAGACAGTCCAAGAAAAACCACACATTACTTACACAAAAACAGAGATAAGAATTATAGTAGACTTCTTATTAGAAATCATGGAGGCCAGAACATGATGGAGTGATATCTCTATATCATACAAATATAACTTCCAGCCCAGGATTCTATACCCAGAAAAAATCTTTTAAAAGATGAAAAAGATGGTCGGGCACAGTGGCTCACGCCTGTAATCCTAGCACTCTGGGAGGCCAAGGCAGGAGGATCATTGAACTCAGGAGTTCAAGACCAGCCTGAGCAAGAGCGAGACCCTACTGAGCGAGTCTCTACTGAAAATAAATAAATAAATAAATAAAATGGAAACAACCCAAGTGTCCACCCACTGATGAATGGATGGACATTTAAAAAAAAATTAAAAAAAAAAATAAACGATGAAAAAGAAATAAAAAACTTTCTCAGATAAACACTGAGAGGATTCATTGCCAGTAGACCAGCACTACACACACACACACACACACACACACACACACACACACACACGTATACACACAGAAAGGGAGAGAGTAATTAGTTTTAGGAAGTCTCTTTAGGCAAAAAAGAATATACCAAACAGATTCTATTGGGAGGAAAACAGAAAAAAAAAAAAGATTATGCCAAACAGAAATTCAGGTCTACACAGCAAAGAAATAAAGTCCAGGAAATGGAACAAATGAAGGTAAAATAAAATTCATTTTTTCAATGTTTTAAAACATCTTTACTTGCTCTAAAAGATAACTAACTAAAAATAGAAATGCATTTTGTCAAAAAAAAAAAAAGAAATGTGTTTTATTTATAGTACATGCAAAATAAATATATGACAATAATAAAACAAAGAATGGGGGGATATTAGGAATTGTAAGGTCTTACACTAAATATGAAATGATACAATATTATTATTATTTTTTTTGAGACAGAGTCTCACTCTGTTGCCCTGGCTAGAGTGCAGTGGCATCATCATGGCTCACTGCAGCCTCAAATTCCTGGGCTCAAGCGATCCTCCTGGCTCAGCCTCCCAGAGTGCTAGGATTACAGGCATGAGCCACCCACCATGCCTGGCCAATATAATATTATTTAAATGTTGGCTCTGAGTAGTTAAAGATGTACCTTATAAGCCCAAGGGTAACTGCTAAACTTTTTTAAAGGTATAAATAAGTCATTAGTAGAGATAAAATGGAATCGTAAAAATTTCTTGGAAAAAAAAAGGAAAGCAGAAAAAGAGGAAACAAGACCTAAACAGATGGAACAAATTGAAAACTAGCAAGATGGTAGAGTTTAACCCAAACATATAAATAATCACATTAACTATGAATGGTCTAAACCAGGGGTGGAGAACCTGCAGCCTCAAGGCCACATGTAGCCCTCTAGATCTCTAAGAGCAGCCCCTCAACCAAATCCAAACTTCACAGAACAAATCCCTTTATTAAAAGGATTTGTCCTTTTTTTATAAGGATTTGTTCTATAAAATCTGGATTTAGTCAAAAGGTCACACTCAAGGATCCAGACTCTGAACATATCAATTAAAAAACAGACTGTCAGATTGGATTAAAATATAAGACCCAACTATACACTGTCTACAAGAAACCCATAGATAGATTAAAAGTGAAAGACTTGCCCAATTTAGTAATTTATTCAGCTTGTAAATTACTGAGCCAGGTAATAAAATCCATATTTTAGGATTCCAAGAGTAGCTCTTTTTTGAGCATGGTACTAGTCCTACCACATATCTAATTATCTTTTCTAATTTCAGATACTTCTAAACACCTTAGAATTCGGCTACCCTACACATCCCAGTGTCACCTAGCTATTACCCAAAATGATCCAACAGTGATATCTACAAACTTGTTCCCAACTCTCCCTTTCTTTACACTCATAACCACGGTCCTTTCCCATCTCTAGCTCTCAAAAACTTAGGTATTCATTCAGAAACAGTCCTAGAAGTAGAACTTATTCAGCTACCAGTCTGAATCCAAAAAGTCCCATAATCATGCTTTGCTTTACCTATGTATGTATGCTACGAACTCACTGCTAAATGAAACCAGAAGCCCCTGACTACTATGATCATAGCATCTAAGCAGGAGAGAAATCTGCAAGAACTAGAACAGTTTAGAAAGTCTTCAAGGGAAGAATGTAATCTCGGGCTACCTCTGTGGGCTGGGCGTAGGCGATGGTGCTCGCCCTGCGTTACCTGGGTGGTGCCAGCGGATGGGCTCGCAGGGGTTTCCCTGGGGTGTGCAGGCTGGCGACGGAGAGGCCTGGGTCACTGTGTGGGGGTGGCCGCAGCACCAGCACCAGGGGGAGGAAATTGGATGACAGTGTGCTGCGACACGTGCAGGACTTTACTCAGACCGAATTTCAGAGGCGAGTTGCTGCAGTTCCGATCCTCAAATTGCACCATTCCGGGGAGATTACCTGCTCTTGAAGCCAGAAAAAAATGCTATCTTGTAAAAAGAAATATTTATCCAGTTCCAGATAGCCGGTTTCCTTTCCTAGGAGTTCACTTCACACCAACGATGGATGGCAATATTTGGCTAGGGACTAATGCAGTTCTTGCCTTTAAGCAGGAGGGTTACAGACCCTTTGACTTCAATGCCAGAGACGTTATGGACAGAATTATAAATAGTGGCTTGATTACACCGGAGTCCCAGAATTTCTCCTATGAAGTTAATGAAATGTATAAAGCCTGTTTTCTTGGTGTAACAGTGAAGTACCTTCAAAAGTTAAATCACTATCAGTGATATACTTAGAGGTCCAGTGGGAGTAAGAGCCCAAGCCCTGGACAGAGACAGAAAATCTGGTGGAAGATTTTGTATTTGACGGAGGAGCTGGGGATGTCGGAAATCACATTCTTCACGTGAGAAATGCACCTTCCCCTGCTGCCACTTCTTCCATTACAATTTCTGAAATGATTGTGGATGAGGTACAACAAAGGTCTGAATTGTAAATAACGAATGAAGCTAGGTATGCATTGTAATCTCCATGTCAGCAACAAGAATGTACTAATTGCATTCTTTAATTTTAAGGAAATAGCTTTTTA